TTTTTTTTTGACAGAGGTATTAATATACTATAATTTCAGGCCAGTTTCCTTATTTGTTGATCCTTCATTTTGTTCCCCAAAAAAGGCTTTAAAGCTGTTGTTTCAAATTAAGACTTTCTTTTCAGATTTTGGATGAAAGAAATAGATTTCTGCCGACAGATTCTCAGCTGACACCGCGTTCTGTCCATAGCTTCACTTTATTTTCTGGAGAGCACTGCAAAGGATTCCAACTTCACCTACAAAAAAGGGCGCCGTTCAGATAGCCCATGGATACAAGGACAAACACCCCTCAAGTTTTCACCTTGGGCAGAGTCCTGAGGGATCCGAGGGACACTGGAAAAGCCACCCGTCACTCCCAGCTTCAAGCCACTCACCGCTCAGGTATGGAGATGGCACTGGGACAGGGGTGGTGTAGGAAGTGCTCGGGCTGCTACTGGAATTGGCTCCCTCTCTCCGTGGGCCATTTCTCAGGAAGGTCTTAGTGGGTTTCTCCCCGGGCAAACTGAGAGCTGCTCTGTTTCCTTTTTATCTGACATCAGATGCTTCAAGGAGCTAAGTAAAAAGTGTCGCTGTACAAATCTCCTCTCTCAGAATCTCCTGCTGTCTTATTACCAGGACAAATTCCCAAGATTTAGCACAGATTGACTAAATTTATTCTAGGCCTATAACTCAGGACTACTAAGCTGCAGACAGCTCTCCCTGTGATTCTGCAACACTGAGAACTCAGCCTAGATTGTGAGATCCCTGGACAGAAGGACTGTGTAATCAATTCCATTTGTGACAGGGGCCCTGGGGATACAGACTTTTCCCAGAAGCGTGAGAGGCCTTGGAGAATGAGAAGCTTCACTCCCTCAATCTCAGAGACCAAAGTACAGAGGAGTGATGAAAACTTACATAAAGTCACATAGCTCTAAGAAGCCTTTGGTTTCTAAATTTGCTACTCTGTGGTCTTAGAAATTTTCTTATCAACAATAGCCAATGGCCAGGGGAGTTATTCTTGCCTTTTCATGGGAAATGAGAAAGAGTGCAAAAACAGCTATTGCTTCACCCTGGTGTCTTACACACCAGCCTCAGGAGCACCTTCAGTGCGTGCATCCCTCGAAATTGATTTCCAAGACAGAGTGAGCCTGGGGGGGGATCAGCCTTGGGCTTTTTCAAGATGTGGAGTCACAGGTAGCCACACCTAGGGTGCAAAGACTACCAGGGCCAGTTGTGTGCAGCACAAGTGGCACAGGCAATGGTAGAGGACACTTCAAGCCCATCTGCCCTCCTGGACATTACACAAGGCAGGAACTCCTCCCTTGTACTCTCCCCACCCTGTAAGTCATCTCTTCACTCAGTGGCTCTTGTGTGCCCAATATAATTTTTAGGAATGGGGCTGGGGCTTTGACAGTGAACCTGGTGTGACTCTGCTCAGGTCAACAGTTATACAACACTAGTATAATGATGACTCCTTTGTGAGTGACAGATGAAGGAATGTAAAGACACTAGAATGACATCCAACCCAGTCCTCTTACAAGAAGACTTAGCAGATGAGCTAGGTCCCGGCCTCTGCAAATGGATGGAGAAAGTATTTCAAACCAAAGAATGGTACGGGAAAAGCCCTGGAAGTAGGATAGAGCACAGGAAGTAGAATTAATGTTGCTAGAAAATAATTTGAAGGGCCAGAGGCAGGACCAGGTATGAACAAAGTAACCTGTGGTTTCTGAAGAGCAGTAGTGTAATATCCATCATCAGGAGGAGTGAAGGGCAGGGACCTGTGCTCCTGTGTTGCTAATAAGGTAAACCGAAAGCAACACTTAGGGGATGAGACTGCAGGCAGAGTGACAGCCATTAGACCCTTAGAGGAGAGGGATGAAAAAGCAAAGGGCAGCGGTGAAGCTGAGGGTGACAGCCAGGCATGAAAGGTCTTTTAGTGGTAGGACAGAGGATGGAACCTCAGAGGGTCCAAAAAGAGGTGCTCGAGCCAATGGAGCCATTTTGCCAAATTTTTCTCCCCAGTGAGACTTTCTGGAGAGATGCTTTCTCCTTAAGTCAATATTTCATAGTTTCTGTTGATCCTAAAGTGAGGGTGAGAAGACATAAACCTGTATTTCCTGGAAAGAGAGTGTGGCCATGTAGGGTGTAAGCAACTCACTGTTGATGGAGTCTGCCAAAATCTTCAGCTGCTGAGCATTGTCCAGGACTTCAATCCTCTGGGTATAGGGGTCGTAGCGAACTGAGAAGGGTCGTGGGATTGTGGCAGCGAAGTTCCTGAAAGCAAAACCAGGGCCTGAGTGAAAGGTGTTGTTGGAATACAAATTCTCGGGTCCATTTTCCTTTTCTGTTAATGCTGAGAATTCACTGAAACCAGGGCTGCTGGAGCCAGGCTGAGGAGGGAAGTGGAGCTTTAATAGGGTCTCTTGGGGTGGCTTTGTGTGTGCCTATGTTACCCACACACACACGCACACATGTACGGATTCAGTCATCTCACTCCAAAAAGACAGAGACAGCTTACAATAATGACACAGAATACAATAAAGTCATGTGTTATTATTAAATAAGCTCAAGAGAGTAAAGAAAACCTAGCATAAGAATGCAATGGAGGGAGAAAAAAAGAAAGCTCTGAGATGCTGGATACAAAAGGAAATACAGCTCTAGAGAGCAGAAGAGAACACTGTGCTGATGGTGACATTTAACTCAGACTGTGTAGTCCCAGTGGCTCTGTCAGCAGAGGTATGAGAATAGCTAGTTTAAGGCCAGCCTGGGCAGGTTTGAGATCTTGTCACAAAAAGGGGATGTAGCTCTGTACAAAGGTCCCAGGTTCAATCCCCACCCCTGAAAAATATCCAATAAACCAATGAACCAAATCTCTTGTATCCCAAGAACAATATTAAATCCTAGCTGCTCTAAACTCCTTTGTAAGTATCATTCCTAATTTAACCTTCACAAAAACCTTAAGAAGTAAGTACTGCTACTATCTCCATTTCTCGGATGAGGAAACCAAGCATGGGAAGTTGACTGCTAAGGCCACGACCGTCTATAAGCTGCATACCTGGGGATGAACCCAATGATTCTTGCTTTCTTGCCATCCCAGGCATTATTCCTGGCTTAGGGAGAAATTCCCCTTGAGTGCCACTGTGAGGGACATGAGAAAATACAGAAAACTGGAAATTCCAAGCACATCACAAATATTATTTTTAAGTTGGCCCCCGGTGAAAATGGGAGCTGCTGGACTGAAGACAGTGATGGAGGAGGCGGGAAGGCCTCGGGGCAGGAGGTGGTGGGACCCCGAGGACCTAAGTCAAGCTGCTCCAGCTCCAGTCCTACCTCTGCTGCTGCTGATGACTCTGTGACCCTGGGAACAACTCCCCTGTCTGCGCCTCCCTTTCTTTTATTCCTCTGTAAGATCCAGTAATTCTTGTGATGGCCAAGAGGGGTGTGGCAAGCCCTGTTGGAGTTCAGGGTGCTGCTGGCAAGTACTAGTGGGATTCTGAAGGAAGATGAATGGCCCAGCGGACCCCACCATGGCTTCTCTGCAGGAGACTGGGGCTGCGCAGTGCACATGCATATCTTGCTCCCTGTAGTTCTTTTCCCCTTTCCTCCCACACAGCACTTCTTTTAGGCTTTGAACAGTCACACCCCTCCCTGTCCTCACAGGATGTGTCCCAGGTGGGGCCTCAGTTTGGGAGCTCAGCCCCTCAGACCAGGACACAGCACTCAATCCAAACTGAGCCCAACTGGAAACTGAGAGTGGTAGGAGCTGCATCCTCAGAAAGTCCAGACTTTCCTTGCTTTGAACCTTGTTCTATGTTCCTCTGGACCCCTGAGCCCCGTCTCAGCAGAATAGCACTTTTGTGGAGGTCTCCCTGGGCCCTGGGCCCTGGATGCCGGCAGAGGAGCTGGAATGCACTGCCTGGCAGGTGTGGGTCTTGCTAAACTCTTCCATCACCGGCCGTTTGGGGAGGTGTATCAGGGGGCATCTAGAAGCGATCTCAGCATGACGGAGTGCTCCACCACAAGCCAACCACTGGGCTGAAAGACCTTGAGTGACTTACTTCAACCTCCTCTGGAGTTCTGCATCCTCAACTGCAAACTCTGAAAAGTGAAGTAATGAACAGAGGAAAGCAATTGAGACAGATTTAGGTATGTTAATAGATATCAGGCCTGCACCACTCATTATTATTAATAATTATTATGAGGTTACCCAGGTGGGTAACACGCATCCACTAAAATCCATAGTCTGAATGTGGCCCTAGGAATGGCAGGATGAAGCCTGTGGGGACTGGAGGAAGTAGGCTCCTGGAATAGAGTGTACTAGGAGAAAACTAGAAATATAGAGCAGGAAGGACCAAGGGAGGTCCCTAGGAGGGGAGAGAGGAAGTCACTGTGGGCCACACTCAGTGTGCCTGTGGGCCAGCACTGTACATTTGCAATGGGCCCAGTGAGTGCAGAGCTGAGGCACCCAGCGTCATAGGACAGAGACCACATGGCCGGTGCTTCGCCCTTCACTGATGAGAGATGACAGAAGGTGGGGTGGTAGTGGTGAGTATCGGGCTATGAGTGGCCAAGGATTCCCTCTACTTGGCCCCTTTCCTGTTGGAATGAATCTGGGCTGAGGGTTCTAGGGCTTCTAGCAGGGCTCCCCCCACTGACTGCCTCTGGCTGCACTATCCTCACCAAGTGTGCACTGAGCACTGAGCCTGTATCAGGCACAGGCAAAGGCAGTGTCAGGGTTCATATCCAGATGTCACCAAGGGCCTCACGCATCCAGAGGTGTGGCTTCGGGGAGGTGACTGCATCACGGCGGCCTGATACTCATCACTGGACTACCCCACCGGTGCTGACTTTTGGTCAGCAGGGGGAATGTTTGGAAGAGGAGCATGTGGCCTGGAAGGGCTCACCTCTCCCTGCTCTTCCCTTCCCTCGCTATCTGCTTTCCCACTGCCACGCCGTAAATCCTGGCCCCCCTCTGGGCCACTCTTCCCTGAGCCCACTGACTTTGGACTGAAACCCTATAGACTGTGAGCCCAAAGATACCTTCCTCTTTCTGTGTGTCCCAGCAATGAGGGGAGTAGCTGAGACAAGCAAGAAACAGAAAGGCTGGAGATCACTACTCTTCTGGAGCTTCACTTGTGTATTCCATTAGAAGTAAAGAAGTGTAAGGAGAAACGGAAGTCACAGCAGTGCTGACAGGAGGGTGAGTACAGCCTGGGGCCCCATCCGACGATGACATCATGGCCCATGGGATGTCACAGAGACTCACAGTGTTCAGTGTATCCAATGGAGTCAGAGAATCCACTGCTCTGCCAGTCACACAAAAGCCTGACACGGGCAATTAGATCCAGTACACAATACTCGATGATGATCGTAAGTGACTATGTCACTGTTTTTTGCGTTTACCATATATACTTTTAATCATTATTCTAGTGTCCTCCTCCTACTATGAAAGCAAAACGTTTATCATGAAACAATATGGCACATCATGCCAACAGCAGCCTCACACGTCCTACGTGTACCATGTCCCTTGATTACATCATTTTCTCTGGTCCTTGATTAGTCTTGTGTGGTTTCGTTCCCCCTGGTCTTAGAAGAAAGGGGCTGCACCTCCTGAGTGCAGTGTAGCCATGGTGTGTCCTAAGCTACAGCACCTGGGTTTGCGTACATAAGGTCAGATCACCTACTGCTACGATTCCCGGACACATCCGTGTTAGGCAGTGCATGATCAAAAGCTGGCTGGGGAAGGACAAGGAGACCTTTGGGCAAAGACGGAAAAGAGATGAGAGAGCCAGTTCTGCAGGTGTCTGGGAGGATAAAGAGAGGAAGGTACTTTGCGGGGTTGGAAACCTTTTCGGACTGATTTGGTAGGGGAACTTTTGTGGCCATTCTGTACCCAAGCGGATGCAGGACTGGAGACCGTGTCCACACTGAAAGAGATCAGGGCAGGATTGTCTGCAGCTGGAGTGTCCAACCTTCCAACAGAGGTGGGAAAAGGTGCAGGTGGATAAGGTGGGGGCGTAAACTCCCCCTGCTGCACGAAGTTATATGTACCTGGGGGTCAGGCCAAACACCCCCAGACAATATGAGCAGCCTGAGTCAGAGGACCCAGGGAGCTAAGGGGCCTCCTCACCTCACTTTCTCCTTGGCATCACTGAAACTCTCCGCCACGTAGTAGAGGGGCTGGAACTCGGTGACGGTGTACGGCTGGACCGCCATCTTCTCCAGCTCCAGGGAAAGGAGCTTCGGCTTGTTAGACAAGCAGTACTGTGGGCACATGGTGAAAAGCTCTGTTAAATCCAGACTGGTGGTCCCTGCTGCGTGCCACCCCCTCTGCTTCCTTGCACACCCCAGCCCAAGTGCAGGGAGCGATGCTGCAGAGACCACATTCAACCCTTTAGCTCATCTAAAACCAGGGTAGTAAGTGGCAAACTCATTCTAATCACTTTCAAGTAAGGAGATTGACTGACAGACACTGCGTAAGCAGCCACCTTTTCCAGGAGAATGGTGTCCCTTACCGACACATTCACGTCCATCTTTGGTCCCTGTTAAGGTCATACCTGTAATTCACCGAAGGATGACAGGAGCCCAGCACCATAGGCCTTGATGGAGTCGCCTTGTTTGCAGAGCCCAAACTCCACAGTAAACCAGTAGATCTAGGATGGAAAGTCACGCTGAGTGCAAACCCTAGGAAGGGGGAAGGCAGCAAGCAGCCCCAGACCAAGGATAGCACTGGCCAGGTGGGCTGTCCTTTAAATCCATGTGATATTTCTCCGGTCCTGTGTCTCACCCTACCCCATCCCCTGTTGAACTAAGGAGGTGGCTGAACCCAAGGTATGACAGGAAGCTCTGGAAGGTACTAAGGAGCCTCCCAACATACCCCAACTGGCTCCACTCTCTTTATGATGCAACTTCTCCATTCCTTCTGCTTTTACTATGTGGCATAGAGTGCTATGTTACTTAAAAATGTTCTTAAATTAGCAGGAGTTGTCAGGTAATCCCACCAGGCCCAGATGCTGGAAGTAGGGGATTCAGTAGTGAAAGAATCAGTGCAGGTTCCTCTATGCTAAAAACTGGGGCACGGCTGAAGCCAAGCACTCCGATAACTGAGTCATTCTCTTTTGACAGCTCCCAACCCAGCACGTCCTAGATGCCCGGGCTGAGCAATAAAGTCATGGGGTCCTGGGGCCAGGAGGGATCCGGACTCACTTGGCTGCTGGAGACACAGAGTCCTGGAGAGTTGGTGGGAGGCCCCAGTTAAGTGTGTGTTGGAGCAGAGAACGTTAAACCTGGGAAGGATTGGCTACCTCAGTAGCTCTGACTTCCTCACATGCAGGTGAGGCAGCCAGCTTATTCAGGGCACAGAAAGAAGCCGGGACTGATCCCAGCCCAGTGTGCCAGTAATTTGATTTTTTTTTTTTTTTTAGAACTTAGGTTGACAATGGGTCTGTTAACATTCTCATGGTAGTTCACGCCATTGTCTGAGTTCCAAGTTCATTTTTTGACTCAGAATAAGAAATGTATCCAGCTGCTTCTTGCATCTCTGTAGCACCTCCTTTTAAAATCCATGTTGACACAAACTGGACCCTTCAGATGCCCATGACTCACTTTTAAGATGGCGAGATGTACACAGCTGCACCCATTTTCAGAGACAGGGAAGGAAAATCCACCTGCCCAGGGTCTCAGAACAGATGTGAGAGAAACACTGGGCCCAGAAAGGATATCCTTTCTGTTGAGCTGAGTTCATAAAATCTTCTAAGTTGACACATTTTAATGGTAGATTTGCATTTATTTGCAGCCCTTAATTCCAGTATAAATCTTTATTTTTCCCATTTCCAGCCTGAACACTTTATAAGACATGTGGTTCAGCATCTGGGAGGGGATGCTCTGAAAGCAGGAAGGAATCTGCCTTCTAGGCAGGTTTGCGGCTTCCATAGCTCCAGTCCTTGGATTTACTTGAGAGAAGGAGGAATTTGGGGAAAAGAAAAAGCCCCCTCCATTCCTACTCTGAGAAAGGAAACGGCCTAATGCTGGTCTCATGCAAAGAGACAGATGTAAACTTTCCCTCTCCAAAGCTGTGAACCCAGCCTCGCCTTTATGTCCGAAGGATCTCAAGGACTATTACTACAGCTTGCTGGTATTTTCTAGAACGCTGCTTAAAGTCATGCACAAACATCTGCATGCAGCAGAAAAACCAATTCATTAAGCATCAGTCAACATGGAGGTTTTACTCGTGCAAATGTAACCTGCGCATTCCGATTTTTCCCCCATGCCCTGGCTTCCAAAGAAGGAGCAGATTTTCAAAGACCCACAGGCCACAGCCTCCCACCACCCTCCCAGGGAGTGATGGGGACTCACAGTGGCCAGTTTCTCGATGTACTCATCAGGGGCGCCCAGTGAGGCAAGGCCGATCTCCTGCAAAGGTGGACAAACAGAGTCACCAGCACGGCCCGTCTTCTACTCGGTGCCAGAAGAGACGAGTGGCCCGGTGCTTCCAAGAGTGCCCCAGAGACCCGCGTGTTCTGCTAAGTCCTCCCGGCCACACATCCTAGAATCACAATGCCCAGAGCAGCAGGGAGCCTTCACCGTGGCTTATGTCCTCTGCTACAGCTTACAGGTGGGGAAACTGAGGCACATGGGGGCGGTGACCTGCTCGAGGTCACACAGCTGGCTAACTCCAGTCCTAGGGCACAAGCTGTCCATTCCGGGAGCACTGAAGTCTTAGTCAAGAGCCCTGAGGCAGCACAGAGGGACTGGCTGAGGGTCCATGGCCCTGCTAGTATTTACACAGCTAGAGATAAAATGTCAGGGGTCAGGGACCCCTTCCCAGCACAGCTCCAAACACTCCAACTTCTACAGCACTCACTTCAGCCTGCTGTGCGAGTGTGTGCCTGTGTGTCTTTCCAAACACACCCATCCATTCATTCTGAGAATATTTACTGAGTGCCTTTCTATGTGCCAGGTAATATACGAAATAGATGAAGACCCTTGACTTTGTGGTCTGTAGTAGAGACCAACAATAAATCGTGGGCATCTACACGGATCTGTGAAAAAGTGATGCATTCCTCAGAAAGAAGAAACGAGGAGAAAGGGACCAGGTGAGTGAGGAGTTCTGGGGACTCTGTCGAAACGCTTCTAAAGCTCACCCACGACATGCAGTATCTTTACTCTGAAGTTGGTGCTGAGCCCCAAGTTCACTTCTAATTGTTCTGCTGGGTCCCCATTCTTCCACGAGTAGCAGGACCGGCAGAGAAGGCCTTAGCTGCTCTGCTTCTGCGGAAACTGAGTCACGGGTAGCCCGGCAAGTCACTCCAGGTCACAAATGTGGCCAGTGCGGAGTTGGGCCTGTGTACATCAGGGGCGTCCTTCAACTTTCTATAATCCCAGCTACCCAACCATGACCACGGCCTGAGGCTGATTCTCAGAGCCTAAGAGAAGTGGTAGGTTTTGTTGTTGTTTTTTTTCTCATCCCAAAGCATTGTGGTTGAGCTTGCTCACTACTGGGAACGGTGAATCAGGTCTAGGTTTCTGTTTTGATGGTAAGGATGAGAAATTTGGTTCTTTATTTATGTATTTACTTACTTACCTTGTCAACTATACATAAGATTATTGGCTTTGGATTCTCAGCAAACATCATCTTATTTAACTCAAATATCAGGCGTGATCAAAACTATTGTGAATTTTTAAAAATTTAAAAATTCGTTACAGTAAAAGGCACACTGCCACGAATACTCCTCAGAATCCTCCCCCGGCTTCGAACACATGGATCCCATAGTTCTTGCCACTCTCTGCAGCAGCTCTGGAGTCCTCTCTCATGAGGGTCTTTAGTTGTGTTGTCACGGCTGCCGTCACGTCTGGAACTATTCCAACACATGTACTCTCAGTGGTCATTTTGACTTTGGTGGAGCCAGAAGTCACACGGTGCCAGATCTGGTGAATATGGTGGATGAGGGCTCCCCACAATGTACTGGGGACTTTGAGCTGCCTTTCTGCTGGATGACATGCAACACCAGTATTCACCATATTTTTTTTAATCATCCCTGGCATATTTTTGATCCATCCTCGTATATATACAAAAGATTGTCTGACAAAGTGGAAAGTGGCAAAGTCCCTGAGGAGAGATGACTAGATGTGGTGGCATACGCCTGTAATCCTAACACGTGGGAGGCTGAAGCAGGAGGATTTCTGTGAGTTCAAACAAACCTGGACTCTATCGTGAGTTTGAGTCCAGCCCGAACCGAACTATCTAGTGAGACCCTGTCTCAAAAAGACAAAGTGAGGACAGTGTGGGAGGGAAGTGCTGGGAGGACACAGAATAGGGAACGAGGACTCCTGCCTGGAGAGGCTCTCACGCTCTTGCTGGTAGATGAGTGGGCTTCGCAGACCGGGCCGCATGCGTCTCATTCCTAGGCTGAGCAGTTCACCCACCGCAAGCCCTTCTCCTTGGACGAGGCATGCAGCTCCCTCCTCGTGCGGAATCACAGAGCTGCACCGGTTCCCACCTCAGCAGGGCATGTGGGGCCCCACTCTGTGCCCGAGGCTAAAAATACCCATTGCGTACCTGGGAAAACTGAGCAAAGCTGCGGTCTGAAAACAAGGGCACGTGTCCCAGCAGCTCGTGGCAGACGTCCCTGGAAGACAGAGCACAGAGCTGCAGCAGCGGGGGCCTAGGAACCTCGTGACGGGGTTGGGATGGAAGAACCACCTTTGTTGTGAGCACAGAAGGCACCTAGTGAACCGAGGACACAAGCCCTTCCCATCCCAAGTCCTCTCCTCGGTCAAGTCTCAGCGGGGACACAAAATACACTCGGTTATCCCCGGTGGGATCTAATACACACAGTGTACTCTTCTCTGAGTCTGGATGGAGATCAGAAGGCAGGAAAGAAAGGCCACCTGTGTTTAACACTTGCAGAGCCACGTCCATTAGGAGAAGGTCTTTTCTGACCAGCAGTAGTGAACTTGGGGAGGGAAAAATGACTTGGGGCATCCTACTGTTTTTGAAATATAAATTTCTATCAGACTAAGGCAATGGCTAAACCCCAGGGTAGAAAGCAGAGTGGCCAGCCGCTGTCCACCTCCAGCTCAGACCCAGGCCGAGCAGAGTGGAGCCGGTGTGACCCCGATGTGCACTTAGGAGGGATGACGGCTGTGCTCACCCTGTCCCATGTGGAACTCAAAGCTCTGCCTTGGAAACGTGACTGGGACCTCTTGTCCCCAACGCCCAGGGGCCTAACCCACTGGTTCACAGGGTACTCGGATCTGTGTCCAAATGCAGCGAATTTTGCAGAGAGAACCCCGGGAGTAGGTGAGTTCCTCTCCCACTGCTATCATCCACCCATCCAGGCAGAGTCTGGGTGAACTCCAACCTCTTTCGGGGAGCAGGCGGGACCGAGGCGGTACTCACGGCTCGGGTGTGTACATGGGCTTGGACCCGTGCCTGATGTACTGCGTGCAGTGGAAGACTCTGAAGGCCAGGCCGCCCAAGAAATCTCGAGAAGACAGCAGGCCGGCCACGGGTCGGAGGCGGAATCCGGTACACGCTGGGGAGCAAAGAAGAGCAGCAGCTCCAAGCCCGCCCTGCAGAGCTGGGCCCAGCAGGCGGAGGCGCAGTTTGTGGGACCTCAGGCTGCGACCAAGCAGGCGCCAGGCAGTCTCGGCCCCACGGGTCTCCCGGTGGCTGATGCAGGTCAAGCGAAGTCACACTTGCCAGCCTCGGTTTTCTGAACTTGCTTTGGGACGGACCAGGCACCAGAAGAGGCCCGAACAGGAAAGGCCCCCCACCCGGAGCCGGGCCGCAGGCAGCAGCTCGACATCCAGCTCCAAGGCTGCTCCTTGGGGTGGAGCACTTGCTTCCCACTTCCGGGGGTGGAGCGCGGAGGGGATTGCGGCTGTGCTTCCCCGAGGAGTGAGGAGTGATGGAGGCCGGGCCTGGCTTCTGCTTGGGCCTCAGGCTCCCCAGCTAGACAGGGGTAGAGAGTCGGTGCTCTCGGGGGAAATCACTGCCCCCTGCCTCTCTCTCCCAGGTCCTGTAAATGCCACTGGGCCCCTACTCAAGGGGTAAATCCCGGAAGATCCACCTTGACAAATAGCTTTACCACGTAGCTTTTTCTAACCTTTCTTTACAACTCATCATCTCTCTGGTTTCTATAAGGTGTGATAAGAACATGGTGAATGTTTACAGTGAAAATTTTAAACACACATTGCCATGAATCCCCCTCAGAATACACTCGCCTTGCAGCCCACTTATCCCATGGTTCCTGCCGGTGTGGGGGCCTCTTCCATGTACCCCAGCTGCAGTCTCCTCCCCTCCTCCGAGTTTCCCCAGCGTCTCATCCCAGAGTCTCGCAGCTCTGCACAGACGTGAAGCTAAGGAAATTCTTCCCTTCACTTCTATAAAGCTCTGCTACGTCTCCCTGGTACCCCTCACTCTTCCTGGCACACAGGATGTGGCCAGCGTTGAGTCCGTTGACTGTTGGGATTTTGCGGAGCTATTACCTTCTGGACAGAGAAGAAAATACCTATGAGGGGTGATGCATTTATTTATTTATTTAGGTACCATGGATCAAACTCAGGACTTTGCACTTGCAAGGCAGGTACAGCACCACTGAGCTCCATCCCCAGTGATGAGGGATGATTAGAAACAAAAGGCAAAACAAAAAAACTCAGAGCAAAGAAAACACTGCCAGGGGCTGGGAATTTAGCTCAGTGGTTCTGCTGCCTACCTTTCAAGTGCAAGGACCAGAGTTCGATTACCGGCAACCAAAAAAACAAAACAAAACAAAACAAAACAAAAAACAAAAAACAGAAAATATTGCCAGGAACGATGGGAACAGTGTGTCCAGAGTAAAGGTAGAGTATGTTGAGAGGTTTAATGGAAGTGTGACTTTTACTATAATGAAAAAAACAAAACAACAACTAAACACTCAGCAGATGTTTTGGTCACCCCGTGTCTCTCCCGGAAGTGCTGTGCACAGCCCAAAGGCACACAGCTGGCCGCGGTGCCTTCCCACCCTGCCCTGAGAAGCCGCGGGCCATAGTCTTCCTGTGGCCAGTGACAGCCGTTAGGCAGATTCCCCAGCTGGCGAAGGTCAAAGGCAAAGCCCAGAACAGCACAAGGACAGCTCAGAGCACTCGCACCTCCCCACACTGGGCCCAGTTCGGGGCCTGCGCCCCAGACTCACTCTGTAGGAACTGGGACACGTCTTCCAGCTGGGGGATATTGTCTTCGCGGAAGCTGCAGCACTTTTCCAGGAGTGGGAAGATGTGATTGTGCTCGTGGCAGGCGTGGGTTTTATACAAGGACTTCAGGGTCCTGAACACCGTCCCCCATGTTTTCTTCTCCTCCTCCGTGTATTCCACCTGGGGAATGGGCTGCCCGCTGGAACATGGGCGCAAACAGGCGTTGTTAAGTTACTTGGAAGAGAAAAGTTCCACTTCTGGATACAGGAAATGCCCTGCTACAAGACTAATTTCATTAAACGATGATACAAGCTCTCAGCTCACTGGGTACACTGAGGATTTGCTCTGCTTTTGGGAAACACTTGGCCTTTCTGTTCTTCTAGCTCCCCAAGTGTTTGCCCAAGGGGTCTCCCACCCACCTTCCTTGCGGGGGCCAGGCAGGTACCCTCCAGGCAGAAAGCAGCAACTATACTGTAGATCATTCTCTTTTTTTTGTACTGGGGATTGAACTTGGGTCCTTGTGCTTGCAAAGCAGGCGATGGAACCACTGAGCTAAATCCCTAGCCCCTATAGGTCGTCTTTTGAAAGGTCCCAAGCTGAGTTCTGAACAGGGAGAACACATAAAAGCCAAACAGCCTGGCCTCCAGGGACAGTGGCCTCCCGGAGCTGCAGGCCTTATTGCCTCGAGGCCCTCCTGCCCTTCACAGTTACAGCTTGCCTGAAGCCAGGAGAGAAAGGTCCTGAAAACTTTCTTTCCACAGAAAGGTGGGCAGGGGTTAGGAGGAAAGGATGAATTTTTGTTTAGGAGTCGAAAGCAAGATGATTCACAGTGTCTTTTGGTGGCCAGCAGAGATTGTGAAAGGGCATTAGGTGAGCTCCTGCCTTACCATGCGTGGACCAAGGGCTGTTGGAGCAGGAGAAATGGGCTCTGGGAATAGAGACTGGTTCAACACTCAGCCCCGCCGTTTCCCAGCTGTGTGGCCTTAGACTTTGTAAATCTTTCTGAGCCTCAGTCCCTGCCCCTGTGACATGGGCTAATAATAAATACCCATTTACAGGGGGTGGACAAGACCAAGTGAAATGCAATGCTTAAAGCTTCTAACATTGTTACTACTGATCAATAATAACCATTGGGTGACTGATCACTATCGTTGTAAGTGATTCTCGTTTAAAAAGAAAGACATCTGACAATTTGGAACACATTTCAAGAAATGGTCACCCTGGGTGACATTTGTTGTTCCAGGGACCCAACAACACGTCCCAATTCACCCAGTACAACATCCTTCTCCACTCTCAGATTATGAGGGGCAAACACCAGGAGGCTCCACCCCCAGCGCCAGAGGTGGTCAGGTGACCAATTTGGCCAATCAGAGAGTCTCATTATCCTGGCCACAAGGATTGGCTGAGAGCTGGCCTGCTGCCCTAGTCTAGCAGGTGAGACTCACAGAGCTCTGGTTGAGCTCGTGGGAAAGACACAAGTTCTGATTGAACGGGGGGGGGTGTCAGCCTAGAGATGCTGGGGTCCACCCCCAAGACAGATGAGACCCGTCCTGAAAAGAAGGCCCTTACAGAGGGCAGTGAGCCAGGGAGAGAAAGAGACACAGACCTGATTACAGTGATTAAGCCTAAACTAAAGATCTGTAGAGCAGTTAGCAGTGTCTCAGGCACACAGCGAGGAGCAGCCGTTACTGACTTGCTGCAGAGAATCTCTCCATGGGGCAGAGGGGAGGACTGAGAGGTCATCCTGAGTTCCTCTCCGAGCATCTCTTCTGATTCCCTAAACCCAGGGTCAGGGTCCCCAAACACTAAGACAGCTCCCGAGAACCCCAAATAGCTAAGACATTCTCTTCCCAAAACAACATTTGGAGGGGGGTACAGGGGATCGAACTCGGGTCATTGTGCTTGCGAGGCAGGAGGCAGAACCATTGAGCTAAATCCCCCCGTCATACAACATTTGATATTTGCTTTTTCTTTTGGCTAAAATAGAGTGGAGTAGGAGCGGAGGACCCAAAGAGAGAAAACAGGAGCACCCACAATCGCCCTTCACAGCCGGGTCGGAACACGAAGCCCGACAGGACAGGAAGCCCAGCTGGCCAGAAACCGCCAACGGTGCATTATGTTAGTAAAGCAGCCGTCCCTTCTTGAATGTAAATGATTTTCTTTTCCTTCTTCCGGGTTTAATGTGGAGAAAAGCAGAGGCAGTTTCCTTCGGGACTACAGTCTTTTATAATTACTTTATATGCTGTATAATTAGACCACAAAGCTTGGGAGAAAGCTGGGCCCCAGCACAGTGGGTAACTTTGTTTTGTCTAGCAGCATTTTAAAAACACATGTTATTGAAGGGATGGCTTGATTCCTCTCTCCCTCTCTCTCTCTCCCTCCTCTCCCTCCCTCCCTCCCTC